TTGGCTTGTTTTGCCATTTGTTATTCAGTAACTGATAACTGAAGTAGTATGTTTTCTTCTGCTTCTTATAAAGGAGGTATGGCATTGAGATTAAATTCTTCTGATAACATTGAGGAAATATTTATACTGAAGTAAGTGATATTGTCTGTATTGAAAATAGCTTTCAAGGTTCGTCTCAGTAATTCAGCTTCACCAGAGTCTCCATATTCCAGTATAATGGTCGATTCGTTCCACATTAGAGAGTTATATGATATTTTGGAGAATAAGTCAATAAGTGTAAAAACTCAATTGATATTGCATGTAAACAGTCGTATGGATTGTTTTTATACGCGTCTCATCATTGTTTTGGTGAACTGCAGATGCTAATGCTTCTATAAACAGGGCAAAGAGTAATGGAGATAGCAAAGCCTTGTCTTGTTCCTCGGTAAAGCGTAAATTGTTTTGATATAATTCCATTAGTAATGACAGTAGCCCTAGGTGAGTGATAAAAAGCATTGATCCACTGTGCAAATGACTCCCCAAAGCCAAACTTTCTTAGTGTTGCAAAATGAAAAGTCCAGTTTACTTTCAAATGTCTTTTCTGCATCTACATCTAAGAAAACTGTGTGTTTTATTGATTTTAGAAATATGCAATGAAATAGATGTTTATTTAGACATGAGGCTGCACTTAAAAATGAATATCTGTTTTATGATATGTGCTGTTATAGAGTGTGTAATTTACTACATACACTAAAGATGTTTTTTTTTTTTGCCAGTGTATCTGCTGAATATCTAATTGTTGGTGTTGATTTCTATTTGTTTGTTTGTGGTTTCAATGGATTTGATTGTATATGATTTGTGTATTGGTTTTTAAAGCTAATTTTTGTAATTCACTCCATTGGTTGAACTCATGTTGCTGGTCTGGAAGCTCAAACAGTCAGAGCAATGTTTTGCTAGTGATGCAATGTTGCATTTATTGGTGGAATCAACCTATGGCTTAGAAGTTGTTTCTGCATAGTAAGCTATGATACGAGAAAGTATTTTAACATCAAGAAAATGACTCACGTCACGTTTTAGGCTGGTTTCTCACTTGGTTTGATCGCTTGGTCCGAACCCAAGTTTGATTCCACCTCCTCCGCCCCCCTGTATTATTTGGTTCTGAACTGCACAACATTTGCAATACTGTACATCAGAAAAGTTACTCAATTCAGTTTTAAGCCTTCAGACATCTCTAGAACTAATAATAATAGTGTTTGATTTGTTCAGACTTATTACATATGTTCTAAACATCACATTTGTGTTTAAAACAACATTAATTTATTTAGCAGGCATTAAACTTTTAACCCTCATAATGTAATTGTTAAATGACCTTTGAAGTTATATTAGTGTCAAAAAGTTTTAGAGTATTTAGCCTTTTCCCCATTTCTCAAACACTTTTGTGACTTTTTGTTGATAAACATTAATAGGTAATAACACCTATTTACAAACCATTGCAGTATGAAAAAAATATATAGTTTTTTTTCATCTGAAAGTGAAAATTATCGCAAGTAGAATGAATTTATTTTGTTTGAAAACTTTTCAGAGTAATATTTATGTTGTTTTGGAATAAATAAATATGTAGGTTTCAAAAATGTGTGTGTGTGTATGTATATATATATATATATATATATATATGTATATGTAATAGTAAAACGGCTGTGTAATAGTGCGAAAATGTGTTGAGCTGAGCTGAATATCTGCAGGATTTGTTTGTAAAACCAAAAAATACATTTACACACAGAAGTGCCTAAAAATGCCTATTGCATAAGTTCAAGATCCACTTCAGGTGTATCAAACCCATTTATTGTCCCAGACCTGAAACACCTTATTGTGTCAGTCAGTTGCTTGCATGCTTAAAAAAAAAAAAAAGCAGCATATTGAACACTGCATGTAGAGTTGGAAGTAGAACGACAAGGTAGTATTTTTAGGGCGGGAAGCACAAAGACAAAAATAGAGGCCCTTCAGTTCTCCATCTTACTGCGCTTGATGTCAACAAATCCTGTTATGTGATGACACTCAAATTGGAAGGTGTGCACACAGAGATTTGATCTGGAACACAACAGGGGGAGGGGTTCAACCAAATAGTTCACCCAAAAATGAAAAATTGCTTTAAATGTACTTATCCTCAGGCAATAAAAGATGAAGTTGAGTTTGTTTCTTCATCGAAACAGATTTGGAGAAATGTAGCATTCCATCACTTGCTCAGCAATGGATCCTCTGCAGTGAATGGGTGCCGTCAGAATGAGAGTCCAAACAGCTGATAAAAACATCACAATAATCCACAAGTAATCCACACCACTCCAGTCCATCAGTTAATCTTTTGTGAATCCAAAAGCTGCATGCTTGTAAGAAACAAATTCATCATTAAGACATTTGAGATGACTTTTTCACTGGAGAAAGCAATATTATGGATTACGGACTTGTATTTTAGCCGAAAGCAATGGATTGAAGATAAAAACGTCTTAATGATGGATTTGTTTCTTGAAAACTTGCAGCTTTTCACTGCATAAGATGTTAACTGATGGACTGGAGTGGTGTGGATTACTTGTGGATTATTGTGATTTTTTTTATCAGCTGTTTGGACTCTCATTCTGACGGCACCCATTCACTGCAGAGGATTGATCGCAATTGTACTCTATTTTTAACCAAACTTGAACATTTTAACCAGTATTACTTGGATGTTATGTTCATTCTAATAGAAAGCAGATGGCCTCTTCTGACAGAAAAAAGGCTTGATTTACAGACAAATTGTGGTACTTCAATAAACAATCATATTCTCTGTCATCTGCGTAACTGTCGTCATTACCGTAATTGCTGTCATTTCAAACTCATTTGTACTAACACCAAGCATTTTGTACTCTTTCCATAAGGTTGCAAGTCATGCAATAGTACAATGCTAATTTAAAGAACATTTCCTCTCATTTATCACAGTGTTCTGGAAACAAAAAAAAAAGAGAGAGACAAAACGCTCAGTTCTCTCAATCTCAATCTGCGTTCTGCTTCCATTATTGTCCATATGACAACAAAAAAAAGAAAAAAGAAAATAGTTCAATTTGATGGATTAGTGTACAAAAGAAAGGTTGATATGTTGTTCAGCTCAGCTTTATCTATTACATTCAGGTTTAAGAAATGCTTGAATATGCTAATTTGAGACCTCCTGTTCAGTGTTTCACCTCTGACGTTTGGCACATCATTAACTCTTCACTTCATATTACGTTTTAATTGGAGCAATAATTATCATGAATTACAGTAATTACTATAAAGTTTTTTTTATTTTTTATATAAGCAATAATTCTTCACCGTCACTATGCAGTCAGTGTCTCTTATTTGTCCTGTGGTTGTTGTGGGCAGTGTGGCAAATTTTCTGTCTTGATGTTTGGCCTTTAGGCAGCCAGATGAGTTGAGGAAGATAATTGCAATAATTAACATGTCCACACAGTTTCTGGTTGACCTCTGGTGGGGCGACAGGTCAAAACGTCTCTGGCCCAAAAGTGTGTCAAACCTGTTTCACATGAAGCGTTTTATAGGTATGAAAAACTGAGGTGGCACTATTATTAAAATTCCCATGTAGGTTTCTACAGTTAACTAAAATTAAAACCATTTTAAAAATTGTTACTTAAAATAAAATGTTTTATTATTATTATTATTCAGCTAGATACACAGGAAACATTTCTCATTTTCATTTAGTTTATGTCATGTTTATGTTCTGTGTTTCTGTTCTCTCTGCCGTTTGATCTAGTTTTCCCTCGTGTTTTCCTTTGCCAATATTTGGTCTTCCTGATCCTGTTCCCTGATTGTGTTCTATTTGATTCCAGGTGTGTCTCGTCTTCGTCTTCCCCTCATTAAGTTGTGTACTTAAGGAGTGTTTGGTTCAGAGTTCTTTGTTCGGCGTCTATTGTCATTACCCTGTTCAACTTTGTCTGCCCTTTTTGAGTTTATGTTATTAAAGTCTGTTCAATTGGAAGTTTATCTCCTCGTTTCCCTCCTACGAACCGTGACAGTTTAATTTTATGTACTAAAACAACTGAAACTAAAACTGAAATAAATAAATAAATAAATACACCCCTCACGTTTTTGTAAATATTTTATTATATCTTTTCATGTGACAACACTGAAGAAATTACACTTTACTATGCCCATGCTTAGCCAATCTATCACCTTTACCCTCAGTTTCTTTAGCAAGGCAGTGGTCATCTTGGAGGTGTGTTTGGGGTCGTTATCATATCTCACTAAAATAAAACCGTACTGACCCTAAACTTTGACTGATCCTTTCCTATCTTCATCATCCTTGTTTCCTTCCTCTTCTTATTCTCTGACTTCCTGTTTGTCCTTCTCAGAGTGATACAGAACGTGTTGATCATTTTACGGGGTCACCACACACTGCGTCAACACTACCATGGCCTAATTACTCAGCTGTGGCCCAAAGACAGGGAACATTGTGATGTGCAAGCCAAAAAGAGGAGCTGCAAAGTAGGCCAGCCCTATTTCCGTGTTTGAAGTGCAGTTTAAAATCATATTACTGTGAATAAGCAAGTGCAAGGTCTTGTTTTCAGTGCTGTTTGCTATTGCCCATACCTTGAACAAAATCCTGACCCATGTTTGTGCTACAGATGTGACTAAGACCACAAATCATGTGCTCATATTCCATTCAAATGTAGGAATTTACACTTGCACACTAGTAAAAGTCCTTGAAGCATTGAAGGAGGCATCTGAGCTATAACTCTTTTGACTTTAGCTAACCTCAATCGCCACTCATATTTCCTTCAGAAAAGGTAAAAATCTAGTTAATGGCGGCACTGACTGTCAGCTATTGGTCATAATGTGATATAAATGCATTCTTGCCATCTAATTTTTTTTCACCCATATGGGTCTGATTAATTGTGTCCTAGTTCTCTTGCAGTCTCACGTTGTCAGAGAAGAAAAGGTGTTTATACAGGTGTGGGCATTGAGGGTGATGGGGCTGTTAAAGTTTTAGCTTACTATGCTAAATTTCAGCCTATTAGTAGTTCATCTGCAGGATTTCCCCCTTCTCTCTCTCCCATTTATTCTAGCGCTTCATATTCGGAGTAAATTAGTATACCTCTTGAGATATTATGCTTGCAAAATAGGACAGTTTTAGGCCATAGAAAACTGCTTCTGGAGAAAAATAAAAAAAAAGCTGATTTATTTCCCCCATTTGGGAGATTGACAGCTGTCCTGATGCTAAACATTATTTGCAGGCTAATTTTCTAAGAGGACACATTTTAATAGTAATTTCCCAAAATAGCATTATGTATTTTGAGTTTATGTACACAAAGTTTTAAATAAAATTATTGGAGTGCATTTTACAAGAGCATACCATTTCAGTCTTTCTACTTAAAAATGTCATTTTTATTCATTCAATGTTACTTGATATTTCTTTGTAACTAATTGTGATATTTACTAGCTATTTCTGTGTGAAAATTGTTTCTAATTAAAAAATAAAATTAGTAATCATGCCTTGGTCACTAAATGAAATAAAATAAAAGTTTAAATTATGACAATTACTAAAACTGAAATAAATAATAATAAATAAATAAATAGAAATGCAAAAAAAAATACAAAAAGCTCTTATAAAAATGGCTAAACCTTAAAAAAAAAAGTCAAGTCAAGTTTATTTTGAGATATATAGTTGAGTATCATCGGCATAACAGTGGAAACTGTTAATTGAAAAGCTAATTGAAATAAATAAATACATACTACTAAAATATGAAAAAAGTAATAAAATAACATCATAACCTAAATACCATAAAATACCCTTAAAACACACCAAATCAGGTAGCTGTATGTGAAAATCATTGTTGTAACAGTATTACAATTACCTGAGAAATTCCCAGGATGCCTTATTGTTCTCATCAACAGCTATCTTTTGAGATTTGGGTCGCCATCCTGCTGGCTTCTGGAAAATCCTCTGGATAATGTCTTGTGACCCCACTGAAGAAGAGCAGGGTTGTTTGACCCAGAGACTGGGAAGAAAGCCGGCTCCGTGCTAAAACATCGAATCAAAGAGAATTAAAAAAAAGCTCTGTCATGCTTGATATTTTTGGAGTGCTTTTGATGTTCTGGGTCAGCCTTGGAGAAACCTCAGCAGAAGATCTGGAACACGGTAGAGCCAGCCAAGCAAGCGGGGTGTTTTTCCAGCTTCTGGCAAAGTACTGTGTAATCTCCCTTTTCAAAGAGAGGGAATAATGAACAAGGTGGTAAATTCGGGCACCAGTCAAAAATGAAGTATATAATGACAGAGGCAAATGGAGTGAAAGACGGCTGATAAACAATTGAAGTGTAGAATTAGGCAAAAACTTTGGTAACACTAGATTAGGATTGACATATTCACTATTAACACAGAGTTTTTCCTCAATAATCTCTTAATATGCTGCTTATTGATAGCAAGTAAGGTAGTTGTAGTAGTTATGTTTAGGTATTGGGTAGGGTTAAGGGATATAGAATATGGTCATGCATTCATATGTGCTTTATAAGTATTAATAAACAGCCAATAGGCTAGTAACATGCATGTTAATAAGCAACTAGTTAATAGTGAGAACTGGTCCCTAAACTGAGATGGAAAAAAAAAAACTAGGCCCAGATGGAATCCAGATTAAGGAGCAATAAAATGACATACTCAAAATAAAAGGGATGCAGTTCATTATTCCTTTGTACTACAGGCTTAAAGTCCCCATGAAATCAAAATTAAAGTTTTTTGGGTGTTAGTATCAATATGTTAGTCTTAAGGTTATCTATAAGGCAGTGTGCTCCAAAACAGTGACAAAATTTGCATTTAGAAGATATAAGCATTCAAAGCTTGCAGTTCGTCACTTCCGCCAAAACGGCTCAACGATTTTTTTGACGTCACATCGTACTTCAGCTTCTCATGAAACTTTCTGTCCAATCAAATGCTCTCTAGAAGCCCCCTACACTATAAAATAGACGCTGAAGCCGCGGCTGAAATCGGTCACTTGTCCACAGAATTAGTATTTTCTGTACAGTGAATGGCAAATAGTGCACTATATAGGGGACAGGGAACGATTCAAACAGTGTAAATATGCTTTCCATTGAGGAAAAAAAGAAGTCTGGTTTCGCGCTGCGTCACGCTAACCGCGGTGCGCACACACACCTCTGCTCCGGTCCAGAGACACGATAGCACGGAGCGGATCACATGCGCGAGTCGGCGCAGACCACAAAATGTATCGGAGCTATTTGAATTCTACACAGAATGCTATATTTTTTAGCAATATGGATGAGATTGTGGCTGTCAAATGCGGCTTTACGGAGCTCAACGGCTCTGAACGACTCTAGCCCAAGCTGTGATATAAACGAATGCTATTGGCTATTTTAAAAAGGGGCGGGGCTGCTTGATATGTCCCGCCCTGTCTTCCTGTTTCAGTTAAAATGACGTCAACACATAGAGTAACGCTGCGTGTTTCTAAGCATTTCAGGGGACCTTTAACTCTGGTCTCTTTTTTAAAAACTTGACGTTTTATTCAAGAGTCAGAATTCAAATCATAAAGAGAAACTACTGTTCAAAAGTTTGAGGTCAGTAAGATACATATATATATATATATATATATATAATTGAAAGAAAATGATACTTTTATTCAGCAAGGATATATTAAATTGATCAAAAGTGGCTGTAAAGACATTTATAATGCTACAAAGAAGTTATATTTCAAATAAATGCTGTTTTTTTTACTTTCTATTCATCAAAGAATCCTGAAAAAAATGTCTCAGAACTATTGACTGTTTTTAACATTATTATTATTAATAATAATAATAAATTAATCTTGAGCAGAAAATCAGCATATTAGAATGATTTCTGAAGGATCATGTGACACTGAAGACTGGAGCAATGATGCTGAAAATTCAGCTTTGATCACAGGAAAATTTACATTTTAAAATATATTACAATATACTGTAAAGCACTTATTTTAAATTAGAAAACTATTTCTCAACATTACTGTTTTTGTTGTTTTTAATCAAATAAATGCAGCCTTCGTGAGCAGAAGAGACTTATTTAAAAAATAAATAAATAGTTAAAAATCTTACCAACCCCTTTTGAGCTTTTGAATGGTAGTATGCATTTTTACATTTTATATAGAAAATGTGATTGCTGCTTCCCAGCTTGATGCTATAGTATTGATGTTGGTTGCCATGTGGTTGCTCAGGTTTTTTGAGTGTTTTAGCTCATTGCTATGCATTTGCTAGAGTGTTGAACATACCCCTAACCCAGGGGTAGGCAAGTTCGGTCCTAGAGAGCCGCAGTCCTGCAGAGTTCAGCTCAAACCCTAATCAGACCCACCTGAACAAGCTAATCAATGTCTTCAGGATTACTAAGGCTATAGGCAGGTGAGTTTTTTTTTCAGGGTTGGAGCTGAACTCTACAGGACTGCGGCTCTCTAGGACCGAACTTGCCTACCCCTGCCCTAACCGAACACATGAGCAAAAGCGAAATTGATCAGACTATGCTGTGTGAATTTTCATAGTACCAGCGTATCTGAGTGGAATGTAGTTATTACTTTGGTTGAAAGGAGTTTATTGTGGACGGGGGGATTTATCCTATGTTCTAATAATCCTGGTGCTCTTTTATGTCTTTTTGGCACAAGTACGACATGCTGGCACAGACTGTGCCCGGGCTTTCTGCCACACTGAAACATGGCTCCACCAAATGCCTCACGCTCCTGGTGTTATTTTTGGGTGTTGCTTGGCCAAAGATTCATGTGCATCCGTGACCTGATACATCAAAGAGAGCTGAAGCATAACATGACACCTGCCTCACGTCAACAGACCTATTGACTCCGTTGACCATGACTGTACTTAGCTGGGTGAAAAGTTATAAAATGCACTAGTGTGCCAACATTTCTTTCGAAATAAAGAATATGTTGACACGAACTGACTCAGGTCTTCTAGATATCCAGCGTTCCACTTTCATCAAAGTGCAATATCTTTAAATAACCTTTCCAATGTCAAGTCACTTTGCTGTCACTGTGAGTAATGGCTGCATTTAAAGCTGGACATGTCAAGTACTTTAGTGATGGAAGTTTGTATGTGATTGAAATTGCCATATTTTTGTTTTTTAGGATGGAGAGATTGCAGGGTGGCTGATGAACCGTGACAGAAGCACACAAGAGAAATGTTGTTTCGGGCCAAAGGACACCTTGAACATTTATTATTTAATGGTGTAAAGACATTTCGATGTAAAC